GTCCCAAGGACATTTTGATTTTTAGCCAAGAAACTGGCTACTTTTCTTTGGGGTCTTTTTATCCTAACTGCCTAGCCAATTCCTATCTCCTATTCTTATCACAGCATACTCTGAAGAGGTTACCCAAATTGCCAGTAGGGAATTGGGACGCAGACCGCTCTGGCCTCTTCCATGCTGAGCAGGGACGCAGAGTGAGGCAATTGGAGTACCCCTTCAGTGGGTCTATCTAAAAGACTCCCAAATTGCATTACTCTTATCTCTAGGGGGGAAAGAAAGTCCTTGAATCGTGACTAGGAGATGTGAAGGAGAAATAAAGGCAAGAGTAATTAGCATAAGTTCTAGAGCGGGAACTAGAAAAAAGTGAGAACATGGCAATTTTCAAATGTTCATATGAGAGTCCATTGGAATTTCTTGACAAGGGCTTCCAAAAGCATCCCTCTGTCAGGTTCCTCCTCATATTTCTTTTGTCTTCCAAGGCTGGACTCTAGAGTGATGGATTCAAGATTTGTTTTCAGGTATTTTGATAGCTGTTGGAGTGGTTAGAATCAGAGTCAGTTCCCTCTTAAAGATGTCTAGATAGGGGGAGAAAAATTTATCCATCATTTTAGAACAATAGCTGGTTGTCTCCCTTAGCTACAGGTGGGGTCTACAGTATTGGAGACCAAGATTTGAAGTCTTACATCTGAGCAGCACTTTTTGGTTAGGAACAAAATCATCAATGAGAAATAAGTCTAACTGTCTAAAAAATATTTTATTATTATTTTAATTTTGTGTATGAGTGTATTGCCTGCATGTATGTGAGTGAACCCGTGTCGTGCAATGCCGTGGAGGTCAGAAGAGGGCTTCAGATTCCTTTGGAACTGGAGTTAAGGACGGTTTGTAGCCACCATATGGGTGCTGGGAATCGAACCCGGGTCCTCTGCAAGAGCAGTCAGTGCTCTTAACCGCTGAGCCATCTCCTGGCATTGTTTCTTGTTATGTAGCCTTCAGCTATACACATGGACTCAAAGAATTATATTGACCCCTTTACTCTTTGGTTATACTTTCCTTTTGGGTGTTTAAGACCACATAGTTGGCCTAAATAAATCAATTTATTTTTACACTTAAGGTTATTTGAGGATCTGTTCCTCAGGTGTCACATGGACTTGAGGCGCTCCTGGCTCCTTTCACCAGTTCCATCTATGTGAAGATAAGTCAAAGGTCCTGCTCAGCCATGTCTGGTTTCACTTGGAAGCATGAATGTTTTCTTTGAGTCGACCCTCCTCTTTGTAGACTGGACACTGGTTCATCTCGTGGGGTCTCCATGTCCTCCCTGAATAAGAGGACAGGTGACTCACCACAGTTACAGGACATTTTGAGAGATGTTCCCCTGGAACTTAGTCAACCTTGGAGGGCAAAGGGAGAAAACTGTCCTTTAAGTCCCTCTGACCACATTAGTATAGGCCTCAAACTATGGCTGTTAAACATCCAATGAGGTTAGTTCCACCAGTCTGGTACTTCATATATTTTATGTGTATGAGTGTATTGCCTGCATGTAGGTAAGTGCACCCATGTCGTGCAATGCCTGCAGAAGACAGAAGAGGCCATTGGATCCCCTGGACTGGAGTTATGGACAGTTGTTAGCTGCCATGTGGGTCCTGGGATTCAAACCCAGGTCTTCTGCAAGAACAACCAGTGTTCTTAACTGCTGAGCCATTTCTCCAGCCCCCAATCTGGTACTTTTAATTATCATGTGCTATGTAGATAAGGTTTATGTAAAAAAACAAATATTTTCAGATAAACCTTGACTAGATATATATTTTGTGGAATTTGGAGGTAGGTAACTGAATGTCCACACTCCCCGTTGCTGTCCTGCAAAGGGACAGGACAGCCTCACAACAGTTCTGAACTCAAGTCTTCCACTTCTTTTCAGACTGGAGACTGACATACAAGACCTTCCCTCACTGTCACTTAGCCAACTAGTGGTACTAGGCTGGATATATGATCTGAACCTGTTTGCTCACCTGTAAGATGGATGGATGGTAAACTTCAAATGGTGGTCTGGCCATCAAAGGATGAGTCAGATGGCCTCAAATGGGAGGGGAATTGGGGAAATGTAGAATTCCAGGCCTTCCCTAGATCAATAGAGCAAGCACTTGTGTTTCGTTTTGTGTCCCTGAAAATGGCACCTGGAGTCTTTCACATGCTAGGTAAGCACCACTGAACCATACCACAGCTGTATTTTGAAGATCTTTACATCATTCAGTGTACATGGGAGTCTGGGGGGCAAACTTGGGTGGACACTCACCTTGGGTGGGGCTGCAATGAGGGTATTAGGTGACTAGGCTGCACCATATTTCACTCATCTGCCCTCAGAGGGGCCCTCCACATAGTATGCTACTGCTATTTACAGGGTAGTCAAGAAAGGCAGTGTCCCCTCATCATGAGGTCACATGACCAGTAAGTGGCTGTGGTGTTAGGGCCCAATCACCGAGACCATGATATGCTGGGTGTGCTGCTGCACCATGGGACCAGCTCTTGGGGTGATTATTTGGACTCTTGTGTGCCTTGCTCTGTAGCTGTTGTGGCCAAACACCCTTGGTACAATGAATGCCAATCCCCGCCTTTTGTTGGTATATTTGTGGGCAGTCAGGTGGGTGAATACAAAGGCTGGACCCATCCATTTCCAAAGACCTCCCAAGAGGAGTATGTGATATATATGTATGTGTGCCTAGCAGCAAGTCTCTTGGCCCTCTGCAATGAACCACATTCTTTCCCTTCCTTGCTTTAAAAATACAAAGGCTGTCATAAATAGAAAAGCAGCAACTTGCAACCCCTTCCGCAAAGTGGACATCTAATGATAATCATCTTCTGAGAAAGGACGATGACATGAGTTGAGGCGTCTATCCACTCAACTCCAACCTTACTGTCTCCCGGGAACACGAACCGTGAAGGCCAAAGTCCCACAAACGAGTTCCTCAAAAGCTCACTCATTAATCCTTGGCAGATGTAGGCAGAGAATTAGCTGGTTTAGAAAACAACTGAACCTTTCACACTAGGTCCAGAGGTTTCCAGACACACCCTGATCTCCATTATCATCATGGTCAGGGTCCTCTCCTTTAAAAAGCTCCACACTTTTTTTCAGGTCCTTTTCAATTTTTAACATTTGATGCATATTTCCCAAAGCGAAGGTCATTTTTCGCCTGTCACATACTTTGTTGACAACCATACTTTTTTCGTCTTCAAATGTGCCTTCATCCCTAGGGGTTACACATGCAGTTCCCCTGGCAGCTAAGAAAGGAAGGTAACAGGCCAACTGAACACTCATGATATCACCTGTGGGGATAAGGATGAGGGATGGTAGCAAAAGCCCCAGAGACACCAGCTACTGCACTAGGAGAGCTGGCCCTATACTGCTGGGTGGCCAGACTCCAAACCCCACTCACACCCACCTGCTGGGACCTCACCTTCACTGGGTCACTTAAATTTTTTAAATTTATTTTGTATGTGGTGGCAAGGGAAGGGCGTATGTGCCACAGCACCCATGTAGAGGTCAGAGAACGTGTGGGAGTCAGGTCTCTCCTTCTACCATGGGGGAACAGGGATTGAACTCAAGTCATCACGCTTGTTGGTAAGCAGCACCTTTATCAGCTGGGCCTTCTCACCAGCCCCAACGAGTCACTTTTAAGCCCCACCAACCCCAGCCAGAACACAAGAACAGTTTCCCCAAGGGTGGTTGGAAGGGAAGTAGGCATCTAACAGCTGCCATGCCCTCCTCCATAGTTGACCCTCTTCCCTGTACACTCCACATGGGCACATAGCAGAGGATTAGTGTCATCTCCGCCAATCTCTTCATTGGGGTTCTGGGACACAAGCCCTCAGCATAGTGATTAAAGTGACATTTGTGCTGGGTGTGGTGGCACACACCTTTAATCCCAGCACTTGGGAGGCAGAGGCAGGCGGATCTCTGTGAGTTCAAGGCCAGCCTGGTCTACATAGTGAGTTCCAGGACAGCTGGGGCTACAAGGAGACCGTGTCTCACAAAGACAAAAAAAAAAAAATAGACATATGTATCATGTTAGAACAAGCATGACTACAACATCCAATTTAGCCAGAGGACTCACTGTCCAAGGCAGTCAAGGAGGATGGGAAAGGACAGCTGAGGCACTAATATTGTACTCTTGAGCCATCTCTACTTCCTGTCATGGGCACACCCACCGGGTGGTCTAACAAGCATCTACCTCACAGGAGATGCTCAGAGTTGCTTTGTAAAGGCCAGGTGTTGACGTTAGGTTCTTCCTGAATTGCTCTCCATCTTATTTTTGGGGACAAGATCTCTCACTGAACCTAGAGCTTGCTGTTTCAGCTACACTGGCTAGTCAGCAAGTTCCAAGGATCCATCAGCCCTCCCCAACCCCTGTACCCCAGTTGGGAAGATATACACAACTACATGGATGCTGGGGATCCAAACTTCTACATGGATGGGGATCCAAGCTTCTACATGGACGCTGGGGATCTAAACTCAGGTCCTCACTGCTTAGAAAGCAAACACTTTACCCACTGAGCCATCTCCCCGGCCCACACAGTTGGTCGTCTTTATCTCCAGCTCAAACAAACCCAGCACATGATTGCAAGAACAATATGGACACATCTACCCATATCGTTCCTGGCTGCCTCCAGGCCACACTCTTGACTTCCTAACTTACCCCCCTGAATCTAAACATGAATGTGCTAGTGGGAGCCAAGGGCATCTGGATAGTAATGTCCTGACCTGGGAGTACAAGGCCATCTATCAGCCTAATTCAGATCAGTAGGGATATAGGAACTGGACACAGGGCTCTGGGGCAGATGCAGCCCCACACTGGCCCAGTAAAACCAGGACAGGCTCCTCAAGGCTTGCAAAGCTGACTTCTGCTGGCCAAGAAAGGAACTGCATGCAGCAACAAAGCCAAACACTGCCACCTTCTGGGAGTTTGTCAACTCTAGAGGTTTTGGAAAGTAGTCCCTTCTCACAGGCCAGACATAGGTCCACAACCTGGGGTAGCTGGAACCTTTATTCTAGTAAGAGGCAAGATGGCAGTTTGGTGGTACCAAGGAGATGGGGCACCCAGAGCTGCCTCTTCAGAGTTCAATCTCCAGACAGTGAGCACCAGAGTGTGCCCACAAACAGTATGCCTATTCCATCCAGGTCAGGAAACCCAATTCCGACTGTCCTCAGGTTCAGGCCATCCTAGGAGGATGAAGCTGCAGGTTTAGGTTTCTTTCCCTTGTGCTTGAAGTTGCGCAATGGGTTCTGGGTCTTCACCTTCTGCAAGGGCAGAGTCACAAGTTAGTTGGGGGAATCAGACAGAGGACTCCTATAGACAGAGTGGGCAGTGCTGGCACCTGGAAGGGTCCCTGTTCCAGAAGCCAGAAACTACTAGCTGCTGTGGACACTGTGGGGCTGGCCAGCAGAGAGCAGAAACAGGGCCAGCTGTGGCAATATCCGCAGCCCACAGCCCTACTCCTAGGAGCCCTATTCCCGTCCCACAGGCAAGGCACCTGGTGACAACAAAGGGCCAAAGTGGGAAGAGCCCTGCTGCTGTCCCAAGACTCCTAGGAGACATACCTTAACCTTCCTACAGGAGGGCAGCTTTTTCCGCTTCTTGCGAGTTTGAACCAGGCCACGAAGAGCAGCAGGGACTGAAAGAAATGCTGGGCCTCAGGAGCAGCCTCACCCGTTTCTAAGCTCCAGTCCCACCACCAACTCTACCCTGTCAGACCTGGTCCATGACTAGAAGGGATCCCAGGACTCCTGCAAGCCTTCCTTAGTGCTGCCCCACTCCTTTCTCCCTCCACAACTTCAGCATTCTCCAATCTGACCCAAGTGATGGCTGACAACATTCAATTATTATCACACATGTACAAGGACAGAAGACGGAAGTTAGCTCCCTGGACTTCCACTGTGTAACTCATCTCTATAGTGTTTAGATGTACTGCAGTTAACATGTAAAAGAAAGTGAACAAGGGGCTGGAGATGGCTCAGCAGTTAAGCAAACGAACTGCTCTTGCGGAGGATCCTGGTTCAAACCCCAGCACCCACATGGCGGCTCTGAAACTCCAGTTCAAGGGGATCTGACACCCTCTTCTGGCCCCCATAGGCATTGTCCTACACAGGTGCACTTACTTACATGCAGGCAATATACTCATACACTAAAAAATAATAAATAATATTTTTAAAATTCTAAATAAGAAAGTGAACAAGAAAAAAAGAGAGGCTAGGATGTAGCCCGGTAGCTCAGTGTACACAGCATAAAGAAGAGGGAAAGAAATATCTTTAAGGAAATGCAGTGAAAGTAATCTATAGGTGATTTATGTGCAGCTCTTCCACCACATCTGGCTTATGTGCAGCTCTTTAACTACAAATTCAGCAGCCTCCAGTGCTGCCCCCCAACCCTTCTTCCCGACTCTAAACTTCATGTGATCTTGGACCTAACCCTCACCACCACAGCCATCCCAACATGGCCATGCTAGGCGGTATCTGACCCTTTCCCCCTCTTCGGAGCTCTTCCAAACATCCCAGCTACACCCTCAGTAAATGACTTTGCTTCAGGCCAAGGTGAGTTCAGGCCCTGGCATTTCACACATGGATAAAGCCTGGGGCTTTCTCTGGCTCACTATTCATTGGGAACCTTCCTCTAGTATTATCATGCTTCATGCTCCCAGCTCTCCTGGGTCCTTTTTCACCACTTAGGCCCTGGTATGCCCATCCCTTACTTTCCTGTCACCTCTAAGGCTGCAATTTCACATGAGTGAGTTGGCTCCAATCCAAGCAGGTCAAATCATGAATGGCGCAGAGCCTGGACTCATTGCCCATAGTTACCTCCTCACCATGTTTCTCCTTTATGTTCATTGTAAACATAAAGCCATGAACACTCATTACCAAAAACACCCCATACTCTTTCAAATAAGAAAAGCTGCTACCCAGAGCTTGCATGAGATGAGAAGGGTCAGTCAGGCTGAACAGCCACCCCCTTCCTTCCACAGCTTTGTCTATTTCTGCCCTGAGCTATGTCTTCCTCATTTGTTCCTACCTACAAATCAGAGGCCTCGACCCTGACTCTGATACCTGCCAATCCAGAGTATTCTCCAGCACCTATGTGCCTCCTGCTGCCCAGGACCCTCCCTCAAACCTGTTCACCCTCTTTAGCACACAGGAAGTCAATCAATGGCTCATTTTTCCATTCAGTCAAGCCTTGGTGACGGTCTGATTCAAAGCCTGGATGTGCCACCAAATCTGCACAACCTCAGTTTTCTCAGCTCCACAATAGAGACAGCACAGCTACCCCGTAGGATGAGGCCAACAAGTCTACATGATCAAGCACACAATGCAGTTGTTTGTGTGCACACGGTGTGCTGCCTGGGTCTCTGGGTTCTGTCCTCCACTCACAGCTTCCCCAGCTCCATGCACAGAGCTTGGGAGAGCTTGACCAAGGAATGACCAAGGCCATTTCTCCCACATTCCTGACCCTCAGCAATACTCACCCAGGTAGTCAGGGACATTGCCCAGGTGAGGCTTCACCACTGCAGGGTGCAAGGGCAGATCATGGCGTAGCAGCTGGAGGTCCCTGGGGTTGTCTTCAAAATATGTCTGACAGGTAGAGAGAGCTCAAAGTTTAAAAGGCATGAGAAGTGCCACCATGAAGTTTGCCTACCACTTTGTTCCTTATCCTCTTTGCCAGCTGCAGACCCTCGACCAGCAAGACCAGGACAGGCTTCTCTCATATTTGCAAAGCTGATTTCTGCTAGCCAAATGAGACATTGCATGCAGCAGCAAAGGCATTCACTTTCTGGAAGTTTGTCAATTCTGGGGGTTTCAGAAAGTAGTCCCTACCCACAGGTCGAAGGTTCACAACCTGGGGCAGCTGGAACCTTTATTCACTGAGGCTAGGTCTTCTAAGTCTCATGGGAACAAGGATATCTATATCTGTTCTCTGTGCTTCAAAAAGCAGCACCCTGTACTGGCTCTCCATCAGCACTGACAGCATCCTCACTCTTCTCTATGTGTGTGTAACCTTCAGGTATGGCCTGTACATTCTAAGGCCCCTGGTATGGACCCACAGGGCTTTCATCTTTTGGCTCCCTAATAGTTTTGTAATAAATGGAAGACTGTGTACACTCCTTGTATGCTTATGGGCTGAGACCTTGAAATTGTGACCAATATCAAGTGCTGACCATGAGGCTGTGTTAACTGTCCTCCTAGCTGAACAGCTAGCTTTCTTCAATGGCTCTTAGCTGGCTTCCTCTCTCTCCCTGCCAAATGCCAGCAAACTGTCCAGCTCTCTGTTTTTCACTGCTCAAGCTCAGCCAGTCTCCAAAATGGATAGTCTCCCAAGTTTGCCCTCCCATCCCCTCACCTTGAGCTTCTCTGAATGTAGAAGCTCTTCCTTGATCTCCTTCAATCTCGCCTCCCGAATGGCCTGTTTAGTCACTGAACGCATGGCATCCTGTGGGTAGACTAGAGGTTAGACAGCCTTACAGCTGAGTGCTCAGCAATAGGGTACAATCCTTGGGGCATAGCCCATTCCAACCATCCTTCCCCCCTCCACCCCACAGCAGAGAGCTCACCCTGCAGCGATATCGGAAGCCCTCGATCTCCTCCATCTGGAACTGGTAGGGAAGCAGGATAGGGGCCTCACCCTCTGGGGAGGAGGCAGCAGTAAGGACTGAGGACAGGGTCCATGCAAGACCTTCACTGGTAGCCTCCTGCTCCTCTTCTGAGATAAGGCCATAATCCAAGATGCCACTCAGCATCACTGTACTTGGGTCTCATGAGCAGTCCCAAGATGCTATCAACAAGGCTGTGTGTGTCTAGAGTTCTGTGTGCCATCATATCCCTCAGTCTCAGAATCCACTGCCCACTCTCCCCTCTTCTCTTCAAAGTGCTCTGGCCACAAGATTCTCCCCCTCACCCCATCATGATAATGGTTTTGGACTTCAGACCCAGGACATCAGAGTCAAGACAGAGCAGCGTGTCTAGTTAGTTCCTAACCATGAGGCAGCCAGTAGTGGCTTTGAACAAAAATATCCCAGTTGACTTATCTGCCACACAGCAAGACAATGAACAGTGGAGGAAGGGCCTTAATAGATAACTCAGGCTAGCTTCCAACTAGCAATATAGCCTAAGCTGACCTGGAACTCGCAATCTTCCTACCACAGCCTCCCAAGTACTGAGATTATATTGCTGACACAATACTTGGCACTACTGTGAAGGATATTTTTTTTCTTCTTCTAATAATATAAATAAAAAAATTCTCATCATGTATCCCAGGATCTCCTCAAACCCTCAACCATCCTACCCTACTATCCTGAGTTGTGTGATTACAGGTGTGCACCACCATACCTTGCACTATGGTGGGTTTGAAGACGTAATGGGAGAAGCCCTGCACCCAGACCCATGGAGCCAGGGCTCTTACCTCCACTGAGAAGCTCCTCCATCTTTCCCAAATGAGACTGTTCTGTGGGCAGAACAAAGGTCAAAACGATGCCTGGGTTGTTGGCTCGAGCTGTTCTGCAGTGGGAGAGGGTCAAGCATGCATCTCTGGCCTGTAGGCTCTGTCCAGATGAACTAGTCCTTCAGCATTCCCACCATCCAGGTACTTAGCCTACCACATTCCCATCCTCCTACCTGCCAGCTCGATGGATATAGGCCTCAGGAGTGGGAGGAAGATCAAAGTTGAGTACAGCAGATACATGGTGGAAGTCTATGCCCCGGGCCACACCAGCCTCTGAATCAGAGGCCCTGAGGAAACAACCCAGAGTCAGCCGGACACTTTTCCCCTGAAAAGGCATTCTCAAGTACAAGCTCCAAAACTTCTGAGCAAAGCTAAAAGACCCTGGTACACCAGACTGTTGGGCATTAGAATTATCCTAGGAATTGGGGTGTTACAGGATGGTCTGGAGCTCTGACATGAGGACAGACCCTTATCCTGACCTCAGCAGGGGGCAAGAGCAGAATACACTGCCCCACAAACCATCCCTGGGACAGTGAACTCTTCAAGCAGGCAGACAGACTAAAGGGCTTCCCTTTTCCCATCAGAAACACATTCTCTGCAGGTCACAGCCCCATGCCCAGGGCAGGCTGAAGTCCTCTCCTCTGTAAGAGAGCTCACACCAGTCACCCACACCTAGCCTAACACTTTGTGCTGTACATGCAAGTGCTTTTACCACCACCCTCCACTTCTCTATGTCTAGGTAGCTAAGTAAGGGCTCATGGGGCCATTTGATACAACCACTGGAACAAATGGCTAACCTGCTCTACACACTCTGGCTGCAGTCAGGCAAATGCTGAATAGAACTCTTCGGGATCCCCGAAAAAAAGATGTTGACTTACTTGTTTCCTTTGGACCCTTGGCCCCGCCGCTTGCCTTTGACTGGGGCCCCCAGCACTTCAGCATCTGTTGCTATGACACAGTCATAGAAGCCTTGGTTGAACTGTGAGATGATGTGGCACCTGCAGTTCAAGAGGAAAAGTCAATCTGGCAAAGCACCAGAGGCCCCTCCCTCCCAATCGCAGCATCAGCCTAACCATCATCCTTTCCTACTTTCTCCTCTTTATCTCTTTTGTCATCTTCACATTTGGGCCTCAGCTTTCTTAGTTGAAAATGGAGTAACAGTAGGTATTTCAGAGTTGTGAGAAGTAATCATCAGTCATGTTGAAAGCCTGCCCTCTAGCAAATGCTTAAGAAACAGAACAAGGGGCTGGGGGTCCAGTTCAGTGGCTGAGTGCTTGTCTAACATGCACAAGGCTCTGGGTTCAATCCCTAGCACTGCAAAGCAGGAAGGGAGGGGAGAAGGAATAAGGACAAGAAATGTGAAGGGCTCAAAGCTTTAACTCCAGCACTTGGGAAGCTGAGGCAGGAGGGTTGCTACAGGTTCAAGGCCAGTCTGGGCTACAGATAAAGACCCTACCTCTAAAAAGAAAGACTCAGAAACATCAACTGGGCTCCCTTTCCATGTTTGTTCTCAGCTTATCTTCACCAAGACATAGACCATGGCAAACCTGGAATGCAGAGGGAGTTCTCCATTGAGCACACAGGTGGGGATGCTAAACTGCTCCAGGAACAGACGGAGCCGGTAACTCCGCTCCAGAGTGTTGACAAAGAGCAACGACTTGCCCCGAATCAATGACAGCTTCAGCAGGGCATACAGCAGCAGGAATTTATCTTCTTCAGTCTCACAGACCACCTGAAACTGCTGTAACTGGTCTGGCCCTGGCAGCTGGGACTCCTGTAACTTGAGGGTAACCTGGGGAAAGGACAGGCCTGTGATCAGGAAAGAAAGAGAAGACAGAGATGCCGTGGCCACTGCCTCACTAGTCAAAGCACTCATATTTAGCACAGAACAAGCATATTTTCAAGGATCTCTGGTGTGCGAGCCAACCCCCACACATATACCCTACCCACACTGTTGCAACCTAAAAACTCAAAATGCCCTAACTGCTGTGGTATATGGAAACATAACCTACACATATGTTGTCTGTGTAGAACGGAGAGAAATAGGGAAAGGCAACAATACTCAGTAAGGAAACCCTACAAATCAGGTCGACTGAAGGTTAAAACTGATATAAGAAGAAAGACCAGGCATGGTGGCACAGGTCTTTAATCCCAGCACTCAGGAGGCAAAGGAAGGACTATCTCTGTGAGTTCGAGGCCAACCTGGTCTACAAAGTGAGTTCTAGGGCAATCAGAGCTACATATTAAGACCCTGTCTCAAAATAAAATAAAATGTATATAAGAGAATTTTGGTCTTAGAATTTTAGCTCCCATGGGGGACACAGTAACTCCTAGTAAGGCTTCTAGGCAAAGCACACTTTAGACTGGGGTACCTAGAAATATATAATGACTAAGTGACTTCCTTTTGGTCCTTAAGAGCCAGGGATGTCACATCCAGTGACAATGGTCCAACCCCAAACACCAAAGGTTTCCTCTGAGAAGGAAGACCAAGCCTCTGAGTGTTCCAGTCCCCAGCTCTCTAAGTACTCCCTCAGCACCCCTTACCGGATTATGTAGTACCAGCTCCTTTAGTGCTTGTACATCCTCATTAAAAGTAGCGGACATGAGAAATGCCTGGTAAATCCGAGGCAAGTGACTGAAAGAAAACAGAGCCTGATCAGACTCCACCTCCAGCCATCCCACTCCAATCCAAAGTCTGGACTCACAGAGGTTTCCACTACCAACCACTCCCATTTTTTCCTTACCAGAGAAGACTCTTGAGCTCTTCCTCAAAGCCAAAGGAAAAAATAAGATCAGCTTCATCTACCACCAGCAACTCTAGGGAGTCACGAAGTTTCAAATTGTCCTGCTGCAGGTGATTTAATATGCGGGATGGGGTCCCCACCACAACATCTGGCTTCTCCATCAACACAGCTCTGCAAGTGGCAACTTATCAGTAGCATGAACAATTTAGCAGCCAGAGTCTGCCCACTCTCTTGCTATTCACAAAACCAACCCTTTGTCTTTACCTAGCTTCATTTCCTTAGAACCAAGCAGCCTTCACCCACCTCTGAGAAGCTGGGTCTTCAGCAGCTGAGACATTAGCCACTCGAACATCCCGAGAACAGTAAGCAGTAAGCTGCTGAATCATGGACTGAGCCTGCCGGGCCAGCTCCTTAGTAGGGACAAGAACAAGGCCTCTCACAGCCTGTTCTACTACAGGACCTGTCTGTAAGAGCGTGAATTAAAGACGGCAGCCAAAAGTCCATAAAGCCAGGAACATTCACTGCAATACAACCACCTAGCTGTGTTATGATAAACCCTTAATTCTGTCCACCTCAGAACATGGAATGAAGGGCTTTCCCCAGTCACTGCTACAGTTTTGAAGATTTACTAGATATGAAGTCAGACATGATAATTTTCTAAATAGAAAAGGAAGATGTGCACCCTCATAAAAAGAAGAGTAATGGGGCTGGAGACATGGCTCATCAGTTAAGAGCATTGGCTGCACTTGCAGAGGACCCAGGTTCAATTCCCAGCACCCACATGGCAGCTAACAACCATCCATGAACTCCAGGTCCAGGGAATTCAATGCCCTCTTCTGACCTCTGAGGGCACTGTACAACATAACACAGGTGCACTTACATACATGCAGGCATAACACTCATACACAGTAAATAAAATATTCTTCTTTTAAAAAAGAAAAGTAAGGCTACAGAGATAGCTCAACAGTTCAGAGTACTGACTGCTCTTGCAGAGGACCCCGGTTCAAACCCCAGCACCCACATGGCGGCTAACAACCGTCCCTAATTACAGTTCCAGGGAATCCACCCTCTTCTGGGCTCCGAGGGCATTGCACGACACGGGTGCACTTACATACATGCAGGCACAACACTCATACACATAAAATAAATAAGTAAAAATTTTTAAAAAAGAAAAAGAGATTTGCTCAAGACTACATCAAGGTTGGTGGCAGTGGTAGCAAGACCTGGGTTAGACCAGGAAACCTGAACTCCAGACCAGAGTTTATGCCACAACAGGACCGGGTTCTCTCGGGCAAGCCTACATGGGTAAGAAGTCAGGGGAAACTGTGCACAGACTGAACTTCCCGCCCGGGCCTTTGGGGCTTCCCTCCTCATTCCCAGGGGTCGTCTCGGCACCCACCGCCTTCTTGTGGAGCAGCAGCTGCAGCATCGGAAGAGCATAAGCTGCCGTCTTCCCGGAGCCTGTGCGGGCTCGGGCCAGGAGGTCCTTCCCCTCCAGGGCCAGCGGTATGGCCTTTTCCTGGATCAGCGTAGGTTGCGACCAGCCCAAGTCAGCGACGGCCTAAGAGAGAGGAGGATGCGGCTCAGGCGGCGGGGAGGGCGGCGGCTCCCCGGCTCCCGGGCTCCCCAGCCTTTCCCCATACCTGTAGGAGCCGGGGATCCAGGCCCATGTGTTCAAAGCCCAACGCTTCTGGCTCCTCCATGGCGCGCCTCTGAACTGACAGCGAGCATGCGTGGGGGGTGGGGCAAGTCGACAGCCAATCAGCTCCGGAAGGGATGTCACTTCCCGGAAGTTCTGGCTTAGGATTCCGGTGTTCCGGCTAGGCTGTGCGGCTGCGCAGTGTGTGGGCATCCTGGTGGAGGCGGTCCCTGAGCGCAGTCAAGCTCCATGGTAACGGCACCGCCTCCCACGCCCTCCTCGGGGTAGCGCTGGCAGTACTTTGCATGCTTGATTAGTGTTAGGATGGGACCAAGGTGTGGCTAAGAGGAGAGCGAGGCCCGTTTGAGAGCCCCAGGAAAGGGGCTGCAAGGTTGCAGTCTTCGGAGTCGGAGTGCTCAGGCACCTGCACAGAGGCTGGGTGCTGTGGGTGACAAGTCTGACGCCAGTCTCACTAGGCAGAATCCAGCCATCAGACTTCAGACCTTTAAGATAAGTGTTAGACCACAGCCCATCTAGCTGTTGTGAGAAGCCTCACAATCTGGCCACAGGGCCGGGCAAACTTGATCCTTTCACAGCTCACAAGAGCCGGGTACCCCTTACTCCTTCTTGGGACCCGACTTTTCCAAATTAACAAACCCCAAATGGAGAAGGGCTGTGGAGAGACCCTTGGGCATTCCAAGTCGGTCTATTGTTCTTCCAGACTCTCCCTTACCCAGAAATGTCCTTGGGATCTTTTAAACACTTGCTTCAGCCAGAAATACAAGAAAGCGTATCTTCAAATTTAGGTGATGTTAGCCGACCTTGGGCCAATTTCCTCTGGGCACCATAGCTCCCCCAACCCACTCCCCACCTTTACTCCATCACAAGGAACCTTAAAATAACTCTGCTCTCTCTAAGCAGGTTAGTCTCACCCTGTCTGGCTTTGCCTGAAGGTTGTTCAGTCTCTTTCTCCAGAACTCTGTTCCTCCCCCAAACCTAGCAAGTTTGTTGTTTTAATCCACTTTGGTAATTTGTTAAGGCAATAATAGGAAACATACAGGTGGTGATCAAAAGGGGCTTACTTACTTAGAGACAGCTTATTAAGAAAGGGAAAACAAGCTGGGTGTGGTAGTCCCCACCTTTAATCCCAGCACTTGGGAGGCAGAGGCAGGCAGGCAGGCAGGTGGACAACTCTGAGTTTGAGGCCAGCCTGGTCCACATAGTGAGTTCCGGGTCAGCTGGAACTACAGAAAGACCCCGTCTCAAAAAAACCAAAAAAAAAAAAAAAAAAAAGGCATAGTAGCGATGCCTTTAATCTCAGCACTCAGGAGACAAAGACATGTGGATCTCTGTGAGAACTGAGGCCAACATGGTCTACATAGTGAGTTCCAGGCCAGCTGGGGCTATAGGAAGACTGTCTCAAAACAAAAATAAAGGGAAAGCACTCCTGAAAATGGAAATGGGCTTCTGAGTTGAAGGATAAGGCAAAAAAAAAAAAAAAAAAAAAAAAAAAAAAAAGGGTCTTTTAAAGTGGAATGGCTTGGGATAGAGCACTTGCCTAGCATGTGTGATGTTTTAGGTTCTATCCCCATCCACTAGCAAGCCAGAAGAAAACTGAAGACATAAGCTGAAGGGAAGACTCAACCTACTGTTCCTGGCTTTGAAAACCAGGATACAAGACTTAACTGCAAAAGGCAAGGAAATGATTTATTCCCTTAAGTCACAAGACTGTGATTACATTAGGTTCATCCAGATGACCAGAATATCTCATTTTACAGTCATCTGATTAGCAACCTTAATTCTTTGCTATGTCAGGTGACATCTCACAAGTCTCAGCCATTAGGATATGGATACTTGGAGGCGCGGTCAGTTTTCTAACATATTGCCCAAATAGAAACTGCCTGAATCAGACTGTACTTGAGTGCTGCCCAGAATCTGTTAAGTTTCCATGAGGGGAAGGGGGTGATTAGCATGAGAAACCCTACTTGCTGACATGCTCTACTGTGTCAAGTGTTGGACACACCTGTCAATGCCTGGCCCAGCCTTTTCTAACCTGTTCCAGCCTCTGCTTTGCTGGCTAGATTTCTTGAAATAGTGACAGAACACAAACATGTTCCTTCTCAAGAGCCTCATGCTAGGGGCCTACATATCTGTCATTCAAAGGACATATTATTTGTGGCCATGTAGCACAAGCCTATAATCCCAGCATTTGGAGGCAGAGTCAAGTGGATCTTTGAGTTCAAGGCTAACCTGGGCCACATATGGGGAGTGTCTCAAAAATGAACACATACATACACATACAAATTCACTTCCTCTGTTAATTCTAACCTGAAGAAAATGAAAGCACTCTTTTAAGTACCTGAAGCATTTTTCTGATGGTTAAGTAACCATCCAGAATTAGACAAAGTAGATATGTAGAACTTTGAAAAATAATTTCTTTGCCCTCCCCTTTACAAACTTTATTCAAATATCCCAATGTTAAATAAGCTAGGTGTGCTAGCACACACCTTTAATCCCAGCATTTGGGAGGCAGAGGCAAGTAGATCTCTGTGAGATCAAGGTTAGCCTGGTCTACATAGTGAGTTCCAGGCCAGCTGGGGCTTCAGGAAGATCCTGTCTCAAAAAGACCAAAAATAAAAAATGAAAACTACAGAACCAAACTGCATATACTTAAGTGTAAAACAGGTTCACATATGGAATAGGAAGGACACAAAGAGAAGTAGCAAGGGAAGAATTTAGTTCTGTTGGTCAGAAATTTAATAAATATTCCATATAAATAAAACTTTGAAATAAAATAATCAAGAATGGATAACTAATGGTTTGAGGTTTTATACAGAGGGGATGAGGAAAAGTATACTTAGAGCTGTTTGAGTTCATGAGTCAAGGCTAAGAAAGTAAGTTCTAATTTCCTCAGTTCCTTACTGACATGCTGTCTAATTGGGTGACCTTCCAGAATGGTTAAGCAACCACTCCATCCACTTCCAGGCCAGGCCTTAGCATATGTGCCCACTGAAGTCTATTCCAGTTCCTACCACGATAATCCAGGCCAGTAACCCACCCACCCTTCCTTCCTTCCTTCCTTTCCTTCCTTCCTCTTTCCTTCCTTTCTTCCTTTCCTTCCTTCCTTTCTTCCTTCTTTTTCCTTTTTTTTTTTTGCCTCCCCTCTGCCCAGAATCTTTTCTTTCATGTGAAACACAGCTACTACAATATCTTTTATTTCATTGGAAAAAAAATTGTATAAAGAACCAAAATCTGGTTCCCTTGAAGAAAACATTTACCACAGCTTAAGTACAAATTGAGGGGAGAGTGCACCACCCTGTATTAATTCTGTGGCTATCCTGCCTGATTCTGTGACCCTGTGGGATTAGAATCACAGGGATCCAGGAGAACCTTACTTGGCCTTCTAACATGGCTTGAGAGCAACTATAACACATGCTTTCTGGCCCACAGACTGCTGAAATCATGAGCACTGCATGTCAGTCATTAAAATGTAAATAAACAGAGTGCACAAGGTCTGGATTAGTGTTTTCAGCTAGTTACAGGCAGTGACAATCAGGAAGGAAAATATATGATTTATCAAAAAATAGTTCTAATATATAGAAAAACATCTCATCCTCCAGGGCCAAGACCTGCCCCTTATTTATATTCACATTCACAAAGACATTGATGGACTCCAGGAGTGACCTGGAGGCAGTATGGCAGGGCCTCCTCCATGGGGCATGCCAGTTGCCTACTGCATAAGCAAACAGAAAACAGAAGGGTATTTGCTTATTTCTTAGCAAACAGAGGAGAATCACTGGAGGCAAAAAAAAAAAAAAAAAAATGACTTGATCTTGGGTTAATTCCAACTTTTCCCAAGCCCTAGACAGATTCTGAAAGGTCAGACCAATGTCTTGTTTCTTGGAGAACTTGGGTTACACATAGCTGATCTGAATGGCTTGTTGCCATGATACCAAGGTGACACATTCTTTTTCATTTTCCCCCCTCAAAATCCAGGTGGACAAGGGGTTGGGTGGGGAAAATACCAAATAATTGAGGTAAAAAGGAAAGGCTATATGGCAATGGTCCTACACCAGCTTCTTGGCCTCAAAGAAGCTCTTAAGGTGACGCATCTGCCAGATGCCAGTGAGGATGAGGATGACAGTCTGGGCAATGGACCACCACAGGACTCTCTGGTTGGTACTCTCGCTGGTCAGACGGAAGCGTTCTTCACGATACTGTATGGGATGGCAGACAAAGGGTTAAATGGGTAGAAGAACAAAACTTAATTCCCAGACCAAATACTTCTGAAATAACCACCTGTAATTCCATTAGGTGGTTACAGTCTTCCCCACTGAGACTGCCCCCATGGAAGGAAAATGGTCTTCCTCCACAACCATCTCCATTCAGATTAAAATCATGCTTGACCATTTCAAATAAAGAGCCCATGGAAAAGGAACAGGCAATGGCTATTACTAGATTGTAAGCTATTTTCTGTTAGACTGTTTCATACAACTTAGAAATAACAACCTAAGCCGAGCATGGTGGCGCATGCCTATAGTCCCAGCACTTGGGAGGCAGAGGCAGGTGATATCAAGGTTAGTCTGGCCTATATAGTGATTACAGGCCAGCGGGGGCTACAGGGAGACCCTTTCTCAAAAAAAAAAAAAAAAAAAAAAAAAGAAATAACAACCTAAAGCAAAATGGTGTCTATACATATAACAGAGTATTATTCAACCTTAAAAAGGGAGTTCTGGGGTTGAAAAATACAATTTAGCAGTAGAGTGCTTCCCTAGCATGTATGATGCCCTATGTTCAACTTTTAGCACTGTAAAATTAAAAGGAGAGTTCCAACACACTAAAGAGAGATGAACCTTGGACACATTATGCTAAAGAAAATAAGACAGTTACAAAAGGAAGAAGTTCATGTAAGTGAGTTAGTTAGAATAGTCATGATCACAGGCAAAAAAGGGAACACAGGCAACAAGGGAAGTGGGGAGTTAAGTGTTTAAGATTAATCAGGATCTCGCCGGGTGTGGTGGTGTGCACCTTTAATCCCAGCCCTTGGGAGGCAGAGGCAGGTGGATCTCTGCGAGATCGAGGCCACCCTAGTTCACATTGTGACTTCCAGGTAGGCTGTGACTAAAGAGACCCTGTCAAAAAACAGCCAACAAAAAGACAAAAAAAAAAAAAAAATTAATCAGGATCATAGACAAAACACAGAACTCAACTAGGGATGTGGAATGTTCAATGGGTTCAGATTCTCTGGGAAAGTGAAAAGGTTCTGCAGATAGATGGTTCCAAAACAGTATGAGTCCAAATGCTGCAGAGCCACACACTTAGAAACAGTTAAAATGCTAAACTTTTATGTTGAATGTATTTCATCACAACGTGATGCACTGAAGGTGTGGCTCAATAGAGCCTAACATGCAGATGAGAATCTGGGTTCATCTCTCAGCACCACAGACACACATTTTTAAAAGGTGAGAAAAACTCACCCATCTAGACCTCTCATTCCGTTTTCTGAAAAGCAGGGAAGGTCCCAAGCAGAAACTCAAGTAGGCACAGTGGGTATAAAGGTCAACTGCTGTGCCCAAGTACAAGAAGATATACGCCCTTACCCTCTGGTAATCCTGCTCCTTCTGGATCTGTTCCACCTGATCAAGCAGCTGGCGGGCCCTGAGCTGCAGCTCTGTTAGCTTGTCCTTAGCAGCAATCTCAGGGTAGTTATTGGCATGCTCCCCAACCTGGATGTCCAGGTGCACACGCTACAAGGAAACAGGATATGTGAATGGGGTGCCTCCCACGGGTTACAGACCCCACTGTTGTCTCCGGCTCTGAGGCAGCAGAGCCAACACTGGTCTCGCCAATTCTGACTGCCCATATATCAAACTTTGGAATCAAGTTAGAAACTCAAGGCCTGAGGCAGAGAAATCTTCTTACCAGTTTGCCTCCAGCGAAGAGTGCCATCCTAGTGGAGTTGGAGTGCAGGCAGATCTGGTGGTCACCCGGTGTGTGGGAGGTGAACGTGAAGCGGCCCTCGGAACCGTACTGCCGGGACATTACCACCTGCAATACACATCAGGCCCCAACTCTTCAATGACCTCTCAAAATGCAAACTCCCGGAGCCTGCCTGTTCTCAGGACCAAGGCGGAGCTGCACATGCCATAGAAACACTGGTGAACAGGTGACATCCGCTGGAGCCCCCCCCAACCCCCGGCGGATAGCCTTACCTTGCCATCCGGGTCCTTCACCTCCACGTGCATGCCCAGGCCAGGGGTCGAAGGCAGGAAGACCTCCTTCTGCTTGTCCCACATTTGGGTTCTATAGTTGCCTGCAGAGCAGACAGACAGTCATAATCTGGCCCTGGACCAGTGGACCCGGAACACAGGGCAGGGGCCCCGGCGCCCTCAGGACACCCTCCGACCAGGTTTGGGAGACGATCTGGAGGGCTCGGAGAGGAGGGGCGCTCCCGAGAGCCAGGCGAAAACAATGGGCCTTTCCACCCTCAGCCCCCTGACCGATGACCATGGTCTCGTCGGGGAGTTCCTCGTTGAAGCAGCGCTTCTCCGTCTCGCCGATGTGGAAGTAGAGTCCTCGGGTACCCGCACCGCACAGGGCAAGCACCAGTAGCGCGAGTCGCACCATCGAGGGCCGACGCGGAGCTGGGACACCTGCCATCGTGCCTCAACCCAGACCATGCGCATGCGTGCGCACTGCTCAGCGTCTGCGCAGCCGCACTTGTGGGGAAAGGACGCCTGTGCAGTGTTGCCAGGTCCCGGCTCCCTTACCTAGCTCTGGGCACCTCCCTCAGGCTTCTGGCGTGACCTATTCTGCGCCTGCGCGTCTCCCGTGCAGCAGCGAGAGGAGCCCCCGCCCCCGCGTTGCCCTAGTGACCCGGTGCCGCCAGAGAAGGCACCTGTGCAGTGAAGCTGCCTGGAGCCGCTAGCGCACAATGCAATGCTTTAAAAGCCCTTGCCACGCCCCGCAAGAGCTGCATCTCTAGGGGTTGCTAAGGCGACCTTGTGAATTTGGGCTCTGCTAATACCTGAGATGCTTGGCACTTAGCCGAGCTGAGCAGTTCTGAACGCCTGAACCATGAGTTCGTGGGGGCTCCTACCGTGAGTTCTCCGTGTCTTCAGTGCTCTAAGCAAAGTAACCCCTTTTCGTGAGCACTCTAGAAAGTAACATGTTAGGTCGGTTTCATCGGTTACAGTTTGCCAAGTAGTGCTGACAAAGACAGGCGGTTTTATGTTTTGGTTGTTTTTGGACAAGGTCTCGATATCCCAGTTTGGCCTGAAACTTGCTTTGTAGCTGAGAAAGACCTTGAACTTCTCCTGCCTCCACCTCCTGAGCATGTTTGTGCTTGGGGTGGGAATGCAGGACTACCTACATACTAGGCAAGCACTCTCCCCCAGCCCAAACCAGCTTCCTTTAGATTACTAATATTCTCAGGAGAGAGAGAGAGAGAGAGAGAGAGAGAGAGAGAGAGAGAGAGAGAACCCAAATCCCACAGTAACAGCAACAGCAACCACAATAACAAAAGCCATAATCAGAAACTGAGGTTAGTAACAGCAACAGCAACCACAATAACAAAAGCCAAATCAGAAACTGAGGTTATAGAAGATAGGTGTTGTCCTGTGGTCAAAGAACACCTGTGTTTTCCAGTAAGCACTCAGAGTAACACACTGGGAAAGGCATGGGAAATAAATGGGTGATTAAAGATAAAGTTCTGCATGCACATTCCCCCATCAGGATCATGACCTTGCCTTGTCGCTATGAAATGACACAAGGTGTATATAGCATATATAATCTATGTGTTATGTGTTATATATAATCATATTTGAATGGAGGCATGTGCCTACATGCTTTGGTGTCTCAAGAATGTGGTGTTGAGGCAGTATAGGGAGAAATGATCACCTTTGATTTTATTCACCTTTTAAAGTATTTTTACAATATAAAGTGCATTTCCATCTGAAAATAAAGGAAAAGGAAAAAAAAATTAAAGAACCAAAAATATTTAAATTTTCACTCATCCTCCACTCTTGGGCTGGGAATTCATTAGGCAGTGGAACTAAGTTCTGGGCTGTCACTGGAGCCCCTGATAACTGGCAAGGGAGTCCGGGCCCCACCGGGCACTGAGCTCACAGCCATCTTCCATGTAGATCACTGACCGGGATAGCTGTCTGGCCTTACCACGCAGCTTATCAACATGTAGGATGTTTCTGTGGGCAGGGGCCAAACAGTCCTTTTAAAGCGGGTGTGTGGGTGCCTAGCAGGGAGGAAGCACTGGTTAATGCAGGGAAAGAACTTGAGTTTGGAGGAGTGGAACAATGAGAGCGTTCTTCTGATCCAGTTCAAAGGTGGCCACAGTAGTGGATGAAGCAAAGTATCTGACAGGGAGTTTGTATTATTTTATATCAGACAAGCTGCATTTTAAGGCAAAGCTCTTGCTTTTTGTTTTTGTTTTGTTTTGTTTTGCTTTAATGAGTGACAGGGCCTTGCTCTTTCACCTAGGCTGATCTGGGATTGGCAATCCTTCTGTCTCAGCATCTGGAGTAGCTGAGAGCACAGCATCCATCACCCAGGTAAGGCAGAGCTCACTTCCTGAGTCATTCAGAAGCTGCTGGGACCTACCAACCAATTGGGAACAAGGTTGAGATGACCACTGTCCTCAGGGAGGTGACAGTTGCATTGAGGGGATGGATGGCTCTTGGGAAACCAAACCAACAGAGTGTCCATGGCAGCCATGGCCCTGAAGGAAGTCCTCTGGGCTGTGCAGAGAGAGAGACTGTGGATGGTGCCACTCCTAGGCAAGTGGTCCTGTATTGTATAAGAAAGCAGGTTGAGCATGGGCCAGGGGGAGCAAGTCAGTAAGCAGTTCCTTCATGGCCTGTGCTTCAGCTCCTGCCTCCAGGTTCCTTCCCTGAGTTCCTACCTTGGACTCCATCAGTGTTGAACTGTGACCCAGGAGATGTAAGCCAAATAAACCCTTTCCTCCCCAAGTTGGTATTGGTCAGAGTGCTTTGTCACAGCAATTGAAAGCAAACTAGAACACATACAAAGCCAGGTGTGGTAGTGCACACCTCTAATCCCAGCACATGGAAGTTAGAGGCAGGCAGAGCTCTGTGAGATAAGGCCCAGCCTGGTCTATATAACAAGTTCCAAGCCAGCCAGGGTTACATAGTGAGACCCTGTCTCCAAAAAAAAAAATTGTTGGACAGATAAGATGACACCAGGAGATGCAGCAAGCAGGTTTATGTAGGCTGCAGCCTGGGCCAGAGGACTTAAGTTTCAAATCTGGACCTCAAAAGAAGGACACATTCATCCTTTATACCTTAGGCAGTGAGTTACAGTGAGAAGGAAACTCACATATAGTCTCAAAATTAGGCAAATTATTATAAATGTAGAAAACAAATGTTTAAAAAAATCCTCTCTCTGAAAATCATTGCAAAAGTCTTCATCTGAGACAAACAGAATTGAGGAAGTTTGATCAGGACACAAGGCCAGGGGTTCTAGCTAGCTGAGTTAGTGTTCTAGCTATAAACTTGTCAGCTGAAGATTTGCTGACAGAGACAGAGAAAAGAAGGCTTAAAATTCATGTTTTCCTTAAATACTCCATTTAGCTACATCAGAATTGCTACAAAAAGAAGGATGCAGCAGAGTTAAGGGAGTTCATAGAGGTAACAAGAGGCAGATGCGCAGAGCTAATACAGACGCAAAGAAAGTCACTTCAGTGGTCCTGTAAGATTAACTGAAACCATTTGCAGAGCTGTCGAAGACGTTAGAACTTGGCTACAGGGTCATGGAGTTCAGTACAACAGCAGCAGAAGAGGTGAGGGAAGCAGGAGAGATGGCTCAGTAATTAAGAGCACTTGCTGTTTGCAGAGGACCTCTGACACCCTCTTCTGGTCTCTGTGGGCATGCATTTGGTACACATATATACATACAGGCAAAACACTGATACACACACAAATCTTAAAAAGGATGGGGAAGAAAAAAAGGAAGGAATGGAGGGAGGGAGAGAAGAAATAATGAGATGCAGGATTGTGGCGGTAGCAGCCACAAGGCACAGGATCACCAGACTGTGGAGATAAGGTTCAGAACCAGGTCCTGATGGAATAAAAATCAATTTAGCAGTAGAGACCTAGCTGAGCTGAACTCTGAGGACTTTCTGGAGTTCTTTGTCTGCCTTGGTCAGGTGACAAGTTGACAGTCTCCATTGCTGTGTCAGGAGTCCTCGTCATGGGGTTCAGGTCGGGGCATTGTATCCTGGCTCGGTCTGGTATGCTTGTTAAGTTCTCAGGCTAGTTTTTCTGATATATTTCTTTAATGTGTATTTGTGTGTTACTGCATGTAAGTCCACCCAGGTTATGCAATGCCTGTGGAGGTCAAAAGAGGGTGTGGGATCCCTTGGAACTGGAGTTACAGATGGTTGTTAGCCACCATATGGGTGCTGGGAACTGAACCTGGTCCTCTGCAAGAGCAGCCAGTGCTCTCAACCACTGAGTCATCTCTCTCCAGCCCCCAATTATGATATAGTTTTAACACATCCATACATTCATATTGTCCCTATTTACTTTGGTAAGTTTATAGGAAGTACCTTTTTACATTTTAGGAATAAGTGTATATCAGTAGGTGCTTTATGGGTGGTGCTGGACAGGTAGTGGGGTCTGCATGCACAGTGAAATGCACTCATCCTACCTCTGTATTTGCCCTCAAGATGGAGCTAAACGCTGCTTGGAAAATGGAGTCACCCAGGGCAAGTCACAGCCCAAATCTATAGTTTTACACATATGGAGTAACTTACAGTCAGCTCCTTAAGAGCCTCCAAAACCTCTCTGAAGTCCAAGACTGCTTGACTTTAGGATGTTTGTAAGAAACTGGCAGTTTAGATTTTGACATAAACTCTTCTGACTTTTAGATCTAAGTATTTAGCTCAACTTTTATGTGATGGAATGAACAACAAAACACAATGGAGGCAAAGTTAAAAGCAATCGGGTAGGCCTGGCAATATGGCCAGCAGGTAATCCTGGGTGACCCGAGTTCGAGCCCCAGTATCCACAGTGAAAGGAGGAGCTGACTCCCAAAAGTTGTCTTCTGACCTCCAATCATACCTTATAGCACACATGCTATGGCATGCCTCCGCCCATACCTGCACACAATAATTATTTTTTGGTCTCTTTTTATTAATACTAATATTTAAGTGAAATAAAATAACCAGATGGACCATTCGTGATCTTTGTTTAAGTCCAACGAGGGATATGGTTGGGGTTTAAATTAGTTGACCTCTGTGGACTGCTGCCTTACAGTTTCTCTGTCTCTCCATTCTTTGCACAAAACAAAACCTACTAACAGAGCTGGTATAAAATGACACTGAAAATCTGGGAAAAGTATTTGTGATGTGTAAGATCATGGGCATACTTCCATTCCCTAGCAAGAGCAAACCACTTTTGTGTACAGAGGATGAAAGACTAAGAAGTGATTTATAGGGCATCATGGGTTAGCAAAGGCATGTCGGAATTTTTTTACAGGTTTTTTTTTTTTTTTTTTTGTCTTTTTGAGACAGGGTCTTCCTGTAGCCCCAGTTGTCCTGGAACTCACTATGTAGACCAGGCTGGCCTTGAACTCACAGGGATCCGCCTGCCTCACCCTGTCAAGTGCTGGGATTAAAGGCGTGCGCCACCACCAGTTTTGTTTTGTTTTTAATTAAAATTTTTTTCTTTTTTCTT